TTTATTATGTCTATTATCTCCTTTTGTTGGTATTTCATCATTGTCATTCCTGTTTAATCTTTCTTCTAGTAGCTGCTGTATTTGAAGATATTGTACTTCATCGGTGTTTAATACAGTTTAAAAATATGTGGCCCATCTGCCCAGTTTTTCATCTATTTCTCCTACTAAATGTTCGTCCTCATCCTTATATTTCAGTGAAGTTTTGTTCTTTGTTCTCGCTTAATTTCTTGGTAGAAGTTTCAAGTTGAATATTATTGAATTTTTCTTCCAGGTACAACCGTTTCTTTGTTCTGCATATTTGTTTTGCTTCCCTTCTGTTTGCAGCATATAATTCTCTATTGTTCACATTATTCTTCTTTATGCCATTGATTCTGGCTCTATTCCTCTCCTCAATCGCTCTCTTAAAATTATTATCATAGCAATCTTTTTGTGTTCTTTGAGAGGGTTTTGGTGTAGTGCTAACTCGGTTGCTTGTTAAAAACGTTTCTCCGAGTCGTTCCCATCTACGGTCTATGTCATGTGCTACTTCCCATTACGATAGTTTCCTCCCTACTTGTTATTGGAATTTTTTTCCTATTATTTTCGATTTGCAGTAGTATGCCCCAATATCGTTTTACTTGCTGGCTATTCCTCCTAGTATATGTAGGCATCATTTATTCCATTTTTACTTTTACTACTTTTACCAAGAAATGGTCTGAATTTGTATCCTCTCCTCTATAACTTCTACTGTCTTTAACGGACTTCGTATGTTTCGCTTCAATTAATATATGGTCTATCTGATTTTGTTTGACCATCTAATGATATCCTTTATAAATCTCCTTATGGTCAAAATATGTGCTCATAATGCAATTTAGATTGCTTTCTCAGCGTTTGTTTTTTCAGCCGGTTATTTGTCTGTAAGAATTCTACCTAAAAATTAAATCTAAGACCGATATCATTATTAAATTATCATGTGTCTTTTAACAAGTATCTTATAGTTGTCTAATAAAATAAAGCAAAAAGTTTATTCTTATTAGAGAGTACCTACCTAATCCTAATACAGAACTTCAAAAAACAGAAACTTTGGAAAATACTTATTTTTTTTCATTAGACTAAAAACAATTTGAAATTTTAACATACGATCTCGTCATTACACATCATTCTCTATTTAAAGAATTGATGTATGCTGTAAACGTTATATTTGTTTTTTTAACTTAATTTGAAAGTTTCCTTATGTTTATTTGTTTATATAAATATAAAAATATATTATGAAGTTCATATAAATTAAAATGAAGTAAACTAAACTATTATCATGTGAATGCATTTATATAGTAGTGCATTGGATTATTTCAGTAAATTCTGGAAATATGAAATGAAAATGGCACTATCTACTAAAGAGTTAATAGCTTTGTTAGAAGAAGATTCAGATTGTGAAGATTATGATTATGATATTCCTCTGAACCACAGATAAAACGTACAAAGAAAAAACCAGGCAAAAATGGTAAATCCAAATTTCTCTCAAGTTGTAACAACAGATACTCATTCGTGCTTAGTAGTAATTCAACTTCAGTCAACCAAGTCATATATTGAAGATTTTTCACTCTTTTTTGATAAAAAAGTAATTGAGAGCATTCTATATTTTACAAATATTTATGCATCCCAGAATAACCGTCATGATTTTGAAATGAATAACATACATTTAAAAAAAAATATTAGCATATGTATATACTCTGCTTCAAGTTGATATGCATTTGTCAAAGGATGAGGGTAAAAAAGTGGACATAATAAAAGAAAGCATGGGCCGACATAGATTGATATTTATAATTTATAATAGTAAAGAAACTGCTACATAAGTGTCAAACTTAGTACATGGACGTCAATCTAAATTTGCTTTACCAGATGAAACCAGATTGTACACCCCGAATATTTCGAAAATTTTTACCATAAAGTTTAATTTACATTTAAGATACAATATGTTCCTTTATTAAAAATTGTACTGTTTTCCTTGAAAATGAGAAAAAAATATTTTTGCTTGTAAATTACTCTTAATTTATGTGTTTTTAATCCAATCTAATAAATCAATTGTCAAATTTCTCTTTATATATTGAGCGGCCGTTAATGGGTTAAAACTATATAAAGAATAAACTTGCCTCAAATTTACTTTACTTACCTCAAAATTATTTTTAAAGTTATTAATCAAGTATATTTAATAAATATATTATTCCCAAGAAATAAAACACACTACGCCTATGCACATTGTGGAAGGAATAAACTAAAATATCATATTTCTCTTATTACCATTCTTTGTAAGAACGTAAATATATATAGACCAGCAAAATATTGATAAGTTTACCGATGTTTTAAACTATTCAATGAACTTGTCTCACTATACACTCGTGAATCGAACCAATTATATTGTTACGGGGGAAATGTATCTTACTTTTTCACTTATTTACATGGACGAAGCATATACAATAAAAATGACCCCGTAAGAATTTACTGCTGAAATTTTACATGGTTGCCGTTACCGTTTAATTCAATTTGTAGATTAGTCACCTTTAATTGAAAATTGTCCGACTATATATATATATATATATATATATATATATATATATATATATTATATAATATATATATATATATATATATACAATGTGATTTGATGGGATTAATAAAGAATATTCTGTTCTATTATTGGTTAGGCATGTTGAAAGTTACACGACAGTTTATGAAGTTCAAATTTGCATAGTTTCAAATTAAGGTTAGATTTGTTATTAGTGGCTAAATGGGGCAAAAGTCCTCACACAAATAGGGAAACTTTCGAAGTGTGTACCTTTGCTGTAGTGAGCTAGACTTGGCGAATGCATGTTTTAAGTTGATCTTCAAACTGAGTTCAAAATGAATCTCAAGTTGAGGTTGATATTCTATCAGCTAATTTTGTCTCCATTGGAAATTAATAAATAAACAAACATTATTGGCGGTCTCCTCTAGTTTAAAATTATTACTTTAATTATAACTGAAAACAACTGATCATGCTACAGCTCACAGCTGACAGAATGATTTATACAGCTTTTGAATTAAGAAGAATAGAACTATTGGTGAAAAATATGATATAAGATGAGTGCAGCTGGGTTGATGGTCTCGGATGGCTGATATTACTTGTCCGGTGGTGAGTACGTGGGAGAATTTTGAGTTATGTCGGGCTCTCGAGCCCTAGAAAGGGTCACAATTCTGCGAAATATTTGGTCAAGGATACAAAATTGGAACGGGCGGAGCACTTTCCCCTAGTTTCTCATTAAATACTTACCACTAAGTGGGCTTCAAGATTGTCTGCTCGACGTTTTAAAGTAAATTTTTTCCGTTGATTTTATCCATTTATCTTTCCGAGCTTTAATGTTTGTAACGTTTGTTTTTAAGGTCATTAGCTACATCTGGGTCACTATTCACTATATAGTCATTGTAAAGTTCTTCAAATTCATTATTCCAGCCCGAAATATATTCTTTGCGGTAACCTCTTGGTGTATACTTTTTGCAGTTGATATTACCGTACCTACAAATCTATCGTAGCTTTCAGGTGTAGTTGGGACTCATCTTATAACTTAATCAAGTTCAGTAGAGGATTTTTGCCAGTCTGCCTTTTGAAAGTTTCATAATCTTGGTCTGGAAATGGATCGGATTATCGAAATCCGGATACCTGCTTTATATATTACTGGACGATGCTGGCTGTGTAAGAAATTCTTCAGGAATGTAGGTAATTCTTTCTTGTTATTTCTTGCATAGATCCTTTATTATCCCTGCGCATGTTGAATCATGGTTTCAGTTTCATCATTTCCGTTAAGGATTCTGATTATGATCTTAATGTAGTTTCAGCGGCATCTGCCACATACGATTTCAAACTAGCAAAAATTTTTTTTTATGTATTTTTCCTTGTCTTCTATTGCTTGCTCCTTATTCTTAATAATTGAATGTTGGGGTTTTTATAGAAGATGGATGCTGTCCGGAACTCATGTTTGAATGGAACAGCTGCAACATATTTCACATTGTCTCCTTTAAAGAACCTCTTGACCAGTCCATCTCATTTCATAACAGATCGGTAATGTGTCTTAATCACTGAATTATCACAGATTTCCAGCTTCACAGTATCTGATGGTTCTAAGAGTGCATTCATAAATCATTGTCCTTACTTCGTTGTAGTCACTGTGGTAGACAGTTTCATCTGGTCTCTCTGACTGTGGATATCACAATATCCACAGTCCACATCCCTTTACGAGATAAGGTCAGCTCAACTCTACTTCTTACGATTAAATTGGATTAAATAACAGGCGAGTTTCAGGCAAATATGTCTTTGATGTAGTACTTATGGAAAAAACAAAAAGAATTAAATTATATAATGAGATATATAGCGGGAAGAGATCTATAGTTAAGAAGGACAAAATCAGATTATAAACCTATTCTGTATTATAAATTGCATAACTAGTAGAATATCATTAAAGTTTTTATAATAAACATTTAATTTATTAAGTATAGATGCAAAAGCATGCCAACAATGTCTAATATACAACAAAACCTGACTAACAAATATATGTTATTTACTTACTCTATTATTACAAATATAGGGACCGACAACTATTGCAGTTTAATGTTTAATTAGATAATATACCTACATGGACATATAAACGTAGATCCGTAGATAGAGATCTGTGTTTATACGTCCATGATAATATATAACACACATTAAATTTAAAAACAGGTCGTCAGCGCTCATGTGGTTTATTGCTTATTTATTGTATAGATTAACAAAATTACTGTATTGCAATACTATAAAAGCCATGTGTCATGTTTATTTTGGTAGGTAGTAAAAAAGAAGAAGTACTTTACCAATAAAATATCCCACACTGCAATTTGAAATATTTTTCAAGTTATTTATTGGGTCTCCTAAGTTAATTTAACTGGTTGTGTGTATTATTTAAAGAGAAAAGAAAAAAATACGTAGGTATACTTACCTAAGAAGTTAGTGATATATGGCCAATGAAGACACTTCACAACTAGAAAATCATATCAATAATGAACTAGATTATTATGCAGTTTTGCAATGTAAACCGAACTCTACACTAGAAGAACTCAAACAAAGTTATCGCACTTTGATAAAAAAGTTTCATCCAGATAAACAATCTCAAAAGGGGAGCTCTGGATCTGAAGAACTATTCATTCTTATTGATAAAGCATATAAAACATTAAGTGATACAAAATTAAGAAAAGAATATGATGCTCGGTTGATAGAAAATAATTTTAATGAAAATTCTTTAATATATGCAGAATTAAACAAATCTGATTTAAAGTTTGTTAATGAAGTTTGTTATTTTCCTTGCAGATGTGGACAAAATATTGAAATAAGTGCTGATGTTTTACAAGAAGAGGAATGTTTAGTGGAATGTTCTGAATGTACCAATTGTATTTTAATAAAGTAAATAACTGATTAAAGCAAAAACATACTGAACTATTTAACTTAAAGAAGACAACTGAACTGATTGCTGCTGCCATCTTTTAGTAATCAATTGTGTTTGAGTTTGAAATCACATTAATCAACATACATAACCTTATTTATAAACATGTCTGAGTTGAGGAAAAGTATCACCACAGTTTGTGAAAAGAAATTCTTGTTAAAGAATCTTGAAGAATATACTGTAAGTGTTTTAGTTACCAAGGTCACATTAAAATACCAAGGTGTTATCATTTTTAATTTTAGAGATTAGATGGAAGAGCTTTTGATGAATTTAGAAATGTTTCCATTGATTTTGGTAGAGACTGGGGCTGCTGTCATGTTTCCCTTGGTAAAACTAGGTGAGTGTCTACATTAGTATTCACCCAATTCTTTTACTCATGGATACTCCTTTTAGAGCCATTGCACAAGTCTCATCAGAGATTACACAACCAAGATCATCTCGTCCCAGTGAAGGAATACTTAATCTTAATATTGAGTTGAATCCTTTAGCTGCACCTCATTTTGAAGCTGGTAGACAGTCTGATTTAGGAGTACAGTTGAATAGGCTATTAGAAAAATGTTTGAAAGATTCAAAAGCTGTAGATTTGGAGTCTTTATGTATAAAAATGAATGAAAAAGTAAGTAGTTGGGCAATACGCAATTTTGGGCACTCTAACCTAACCAAATATATTATCCTCAGCGTCACAGTGTTGTGGTATTTATTTTAGTAAAATATGTATATTAATGTTACAAATAAAGCTACTTTTATGAAATAATAATTTGTGTTATGAGAAGCTACAAATTTTAAATAAGTATAAAACTTGCCATATTTTTTTTTTGTAAAATGTATATCGTCGTTGACACAAGAAAACCGGTTAACTCCAATTTTTACTTAAAATGAGATTTCACTGCAAACTTTTAGCAAATCGCCTATTCTAGCCATCCGACAAATAATACATTTAAATGTAGATTTCTAATTTTAAAATGTTTACTAGAAAAGCAGGTATCTCCCTTGTCAAAAAATTATGTTTGTAAAACACGTAACTCTGCGCATTTTCTGTTAAGTCTGTTAAGTGATTATTGCCGTTGATTTGATTTGTTGTTTTGGAGGGATTTGTTGTTTTGGAACATGCTTTTAATAAGTTATAGACATGGACAGAAAAGAGAATGTATATCAAAACGTTGGTAGTATTTGAAGCACGAAAACGGAAGAGGGATAGAAAAAATGAAGATGTATCACGGAGGTCCAAGACATTAAAATATTATTTGAAAATTGGAGAAGATAAACGAATGGTATGCAAAAAATTGTTTTTGTCAACTCTGGGTCTTAAAGATTGGTTTGTTATGAATTGCAAACAAGAAGATGATTCTGCTATTACAGAAAATTTGGATAATGAACCACAACAAGCGCCTAAAGGACTTCACAAGAAGGAGTTGGACAATAGTTATAGTTTTTTAGATAACCTGCTGAAAATGGAATCGCATTATTGCAGGAAATCAACTAGTAAATTATATCTAGAACTATTATGGCAAATCAAATGTCAACTTTACCATATTTACAAAAAGGAATGGTACCTAGAAAAAACGAATCAACAGTCTCTCTTTATCTTCTTTTAAAAACGCTTTCCTGGAAAAGAGGTTGGCTTTGTATAGACCAAAAAAAAATTTGTGTGAAATATGTGTCTTTTTTAAAACAGCAAATCTTGATCAAGAAATATTTAGTGAACATTAGTTGAAAAAACAAGAAGAGACACTTGAGAAAATTAAAGATAAAAACAGTGAAAGCATTGTATTGACAATATATTTACAGGCAGTCCTTATATGTCCTAAGTCCAATGTTTCTTCCCTAAGTTGACATATAAATGATAAAAAAGTTGACAATCCACAATTTCACATTCTATAACTTACACACAAAACAAGGGCATTGTTTTCTATGGGATAAGTCGGAGGGAAATCTTACCAGTGCCGAAATTGCTAGTGTGATCGTATGTATTTTAGAAAAATATACTGAAGAGAGTTGTCTTGAGGAAAACGTACGTGAAATACTAATAGCGATGGGTCTACTTACCAAAATTGTAATGTTACTCTAGCTAATGCAATTTTAAACTGTTGTTTAAAGCAGAAGGTAACAGTTATACAAAAATACCTTGAGAAAGGGCACACCCAGATGGAGGCCGACATGATGCACAGTACAATTGAGAGACAATTAAGAGGATGCGATATCAATGTGCCTGGTGATTACATACAAATATGCAAAAGAGCGCGGAAGGAAAATCTATTTGTAGTAACTCAACTATACCATGATTTTCTTAAGGACTTCAGAGCAGTAAACTATGTAAGCAGTATCCGACCGGGTAAAAAAGGGTGATGCAGTTGTAACAAATATTAGAGCTACAAAATATTCACCACAAGGTATTCGTTACAAGTTGGGATTTGGTGAAAATTGGATTGAACTGCGTTGTCGAATAAATCAGAATGTGATATTCAAGAATTTCGCAGATCTGCCGAAGCTTTATACAAATAGAATACCATTAAAAAAAAAAGACAGATTTGAACATTTTCAGTATTTAAAAAATACGCTTGATTTCGATTACCACTCATTTTATATCAATCTCCCTCACTTTTGTTTTTTTTAAGTCCTATCGTTGTTGTACTACACTTGTTTTTGTACATATTTATTCGATTTTATTTTAGATTTATCTTAGATTAAAATTTTATTTATTGTTAAAAAGTGAGGCTATTTATTTCTAACGTAGGTAATAAAATAACACTAAATTTTATGTTAAACGTTTTTCAAAAGTATTGGTCTGTATTTCATTATTAGGATATTTTTATGTGTTTCAGATATGTTTTTATAAATCGATAACTAATGCTTTTTATTATTTTTTTCCAATCCAGCGTTACAAAAAATGCCACGTAACTCCATAGGCACGTCTCATTCCAAAAGAAGAAAAACCTGTAACTCCATATTTTCTGTATTTTTAGCTATATCTGCTAGATTTTGAAATTAAAATTGATATAATTCAGCTTAATATGACCTAAAAACTCAAAATATAGTTGTTTAATCGTCCTTCTTTATCAAATAAAAGATACCAGTGAAAATGTTACTGTTTTTAGGCTCTCCTGAAAAATTAAGGAAAATGGAGTTACGAGTTTTTCTTGTGTTGACGACGATATGAAGGTTTAAAATATAAGTTACTTTTACGAAATTATAATTTGTATTAGGAGAAGCTACACGTTTTAAATAAGTATAAAACAAATATTTTCTGTTATTTAAAATGCAGTTAAATATTTTAAATTAGCACTTTCCAAATCTTATCTATTAGGACCTTATTATTACTTAGGTGCGAATGGTCAACCCGCTAGAATGACACTTGTGAATCATAAATTGTAAATTTCCTAAGAAGTTTATTGCGTTCCTAATCAGTTCCTAATCAATTTTATTGTATATGCATTTAATTATTATCTTTAATTAAAATATATGATGTTTTATATAATTTCAATGCATTTTTATAATAAAATAAATAATAATAAAAATTCAATCCTGGAATGATGCTGTTATATTACAGGAAGATCTTAAATCGTTTTATGATTGGTGCACTTTAAACAAAATGTCACTAAATATAAACAAATGTCATAAAATGACATTCTCGAGGCAAAGAAATCCAATTACATTTGTTTACTACATAAATAACTTGCCATTAGCCTCGAAAAATGAAGTATTAGATTTGGGAATTTGGTTAGACACCAAACTGTCATTCTCAAGCCACATTAACCAAGTAACAAACAGAGCGATGAAAGTGCTGGGATTTATCCAACCCACATCTGTGGATCTGTCTTTATTTACATTTAGAAGACTTTATTGTGGTCTCGTTAGGCCCATTCTTGAGTTTGGATCAGTTGTATGGTCCCCATCATACCACTGTTACATTCAACAGATTAAAAGAGGCGAGAATAAATTTTTGAGGGTAGCAGCCTATAAGAGTAGATACAGGAAAGAGGAATATGACTATCAGTGGGTAAGAGATAGTCTTAACTTACCAACACTTGAGTCAAGGAGGACATTGTTAGATTTATGTTTCTTACACAAAGTTATCAATGCTTTTATAGGTTGTCCTCAACTCTTATCACTTGTTAGTCTTAAAGTTCCTAGTAGAAGCTACAGACAATCAGAAATCTTTTCGTTGCCATTTCACCACACTAATTATGGTATCAATGAACCAACTACACGATTGGTCCGGAGTGCTAATAGCTTGCCAAGACAAATAGATATTTTTGACTCCAAAATTAGTTTGTTTAAAAAACAACTAAAAAATATCTTACAATAAGTTGGTTGTACATCTGTATTATTCTTATATGTTTGTATTATTCTGAGGTGTTTGTTATTTTAATAATTTATTGTTGTAACTTTGTAAAACTTGTGATTGTTATTTAAATAATATATTGTTTTTAAGATGTAACTTTGTAAAAATTGTAAGTAAATGGATGCCATATATAAATAAATAAATAGATAATATTATGTGAGAGTATGAAAAAACTGGAGACTTGGCAACTCTGACACCATTTAAGCATATGTTAAATGTCATATAAAAGCTTGGTTAGGTTAGAGTGCCCAAAATAGCTTATTGCCCAAGTAGTTTTATAAGTGTAATGGTGATTCAACCAACAGATATTTTTTGAACCTTGATTAGGAACACATGGAAAACTTAAATTTGATTGTGACATGTATAATATGTTAAGTACTTGTGAGTGTAAATATGCAAATACATAAAACTATACAGGGTGGTCCTTAAGTGTTTGTACAAAAAGAAACTGTAGATTCTACACTTTAAAAATATTATGATTTAAGCCAAATTGCTTTAATAAAATGTTGATATTAAGAAAGATACAGGGTGTTAAAGTGAAAATTTAAAATTTTAATTTTCGCTATAACTTTCATATTTATGTATATTTCTGTATCAAAATTCATGACTGGGTACTATTGAACATCAGGAATTATAATTTGATGCATACTTAATGTAGCTGATAGTTAACAAATAGTTAAACTATATAACAATAAACTTTTTGTCAAAGTAAGTGTTTGATATCTCCACCATTTTCTTTAATTCATTTGTCAATATATTCCATACAAGAACATCTCATAGTAAATAGCATCATTGGTTCTAAAGAAACTGTTGCAGTATTTATTATAAGTATAATAATAAGTATTCTTTTGTGATTTTTATGCATTAAGTAATTATATTATTATCTCACTACATGACCAAGGAATATGACTACCACGAACAATCCAATATTCAGGAAAATTGTATTTAAGTATGTTCTCACTGCCCTCCCACTATAATGTGGTGGTGTACCATCTTGCATAAACCACATATTTCACCTTAATACTGCAGCAGTTTCTTAGAACCAATGATGCTATTTAATATGAGACAATCTTCAATGGAATGTCTTGACAAATGAATTAAAGAAAATGGTCGACATATCAATCGCTTACTTTGACAAAAATTTAATGTTATTTAGTTTAACTTTGCGAACGAAAATAATGATTGCTCTGAAGAAATCAGAACCAGAATAGAGAAAGCTAGAGCCACATTTACTAAATTGAAAAAGGTGTTCTGCGGAAGAGATCTAAGTCTAAAACTTAAAATTCGCCTTTTGAGATGTTACGTTATGTCAGTTCTCCTCTACGGGATGGAAACATGGACATTGAAAAAGATCGATACCAAAAAGATAGAAGCATTTGAGTTGTGGATGTATCGTAGAATATTAAGAATACCCTGGACAGAGAAAGTAACAAATGTGGAGGTTTTGCGGAGAGTGCGGAAAGAGAAAGAGCTGATACTTACTGTTAAAAAGCGCAAACTACAATATTTGGGACATGTTATGAGGGGAGATAAATACCAGTTGCTGCAATTGATTATACAGGGAAAGATAATCGGAAAGAGATCTATAGGAAGAAGAAGGCATTCGCGGTTGAAAAACTTGAGAGAATGGTACAATTGCACCAATTACCAACTGTTTAGATCTGCAGCATCAAAAATACGCATAGCTTTGATGATAGCCAAACTTCGGAACGAAGACGGCACTTGAAGAAGAAGAAGAAGTTTAACTTTTTCTTAATCTGGTTTCTAATTTAAATAAAATATTATGATTATGATTTTAATTTAATACAAAACATAAAATCAATTATTCTGTTATTTTGTCAAATCCCACTATTAGCTATCCTGCTGATATATTTATTTTATTTAATATTTTGTTAGCTATTAACTTTATTAAAGGTATTTTATACCAAAATTCAAAAGTATTGATGTTTTTGAAAAGTATTGATACTTTTTTTTTGTTAAAATAATGTATCTTTAATATTTTTTATCACAAGCACTGGTAACTTAGGGAGCAAAAAAGTTAAGTGCAAATGTATGCCACATATTGGCGCCCTCTATCAGCTACATTAAAGTATGCATCAAATTAAAATTCCTAATGTTCAATAGTACCCAGTCATGAACTTCGATACATAAATGTTTATAAACATGATATTTATAGCGAAAATTAAAATTTTAAATTTCCACTTTAACACCCTGTTTCTTTCTTAATATCAACATTTTATTAAAGCAATTTGGCTTAAATCGTAATATTTTAAAGTGTAGAATCTACAGTTTCTTTTTGTACAATTACTTAAGGACCACCCTGTATATAAAATTTTGTTGGCTGTTTAGTACTTTCCTGCTAAGAGTTCATATTTTTTGTGTACAATTTTTTCTGAAGGTTCAAGAGTATTACTAATATGATTCTTGTAATCTGATCTGATGAGATCTTGTAACTTGTGCACTATATGTCCATACAACCTTAGTCGATTTTCCTGTATCTTGTATGTAATTGGCACAACTTACCATTCTTTTCAAGATATCTTTATTCTTGACATGAGCAAGGCAGGATATGCCTAACATCCATCACAGCATCTTCATTACCATGCATAGTCTGTTCTTGTTTTGCTGTGGCTGCTATCATTTGTACCTCAAAACAGTGAATGTAAATGTTGTTTGTTATGTTTGCACAAATATTTGTGTCTTCCTAGCCCTCTCTTGTGTTCTACTTCCCTTCTATAATTAACTTCAAAGCTTGGCTCAACTGGTTTTTATATGGTGGCCAGGTATGAAGTTTGTCTCTTTTTTATGTTACAAATCAACTCCCTTTTTCTAATGAGCAGATGAAGAACTTCCTCATTGCATACATAATCTATCCAGGGTATTTTCAAGTCTTCTATGCATCTTAACCTGGGACTGTCCCTGGGGTCCACATGGGTATGCTTGTTAGTATTGAAATTATTTCAGGAGAGTGAACATGTACGTTTTATTTCAATTGTTAAAATGAATGACCTTATCAATGTTAGGATATTTTGAGGTAGGTCTGAGTGATTATTTTAATTTTCTTTTATTACGTTACTAACAGCTGAAAGTTTATAAGAATATACAGTTTGATGAATTTATGTTTGTGCAAGTTGCATTTATTTGAAACTTTTTCATGGGCACCTAAACTTTTTTTTTGTTTAAGTCCTGGATTTTCACTACAGGAAGCAATAGAGCTTATTTAAAAAAAACGATGATAATATAGCACTAGAAAATATCTTCTTTTATATGTTTATCCTTCTTTAGGTTTAATATTCTACCCCTGATTTTTGGCATTACAAGAAAGTGGTCACTATCTATGTTTGGACATGGTAGCTTCTGACATCCATGAGATCGAAATAATGCATGTATTAGGATGTGATCTATCTGGTTAACGGTTTCGTTGTCAGGTGATTTCCATGTTGCTTTGTGTATCATTTTATGAGGAAATCTTGTTCCTCCTACCATCATGTTTTTGGTGCTTGCAAAGTTTATTAGTCTCAACCCGTTATCATTTGACTCTTCATGTAAGCTCTCACATCCTATAGTTGGCTGGAAAAATTGCTCTTGGCCAACTTTTGCATTGTCTTTAGAAATTATTTTCACATCATGACATGGACATCGATCATATTCTTTGTCTAAGTTGTAGAATTCATCTTTTTCGTCGTCTTCCTTTTCTTCCGTGGCTGTCCATGTCGATAATTCCTGAACCAGCCCATCTCACCTTTCAGGGAAAGATCCAAGGTAATCGTGGTCCTGGTAGAAGAACATCATGGCTGAAAAATCTAAGGCAATGGTATGGAAAATCAACTACATCGTTATTTAGAGCTGCTGTCAATAAAGTCACGATAGCGAATATGGTAGCCAACATGATATCCAACGATCGATAACGGTCATGGAACTAGAAGAAGAAGAAGAAGCCCATCTCATCTCTTGAATCGCTATTACATCGGCTTTCATTTTAGCCAGTTCTTATACCAGAAATTTAAATGCGCCTGGCGCATAAAGGGTTCGTATATTCCATGTGCAGATCTGTAAATAGTCATTTCTTTGTTGTTTGCTAGGTGTCGTCGTGAATTAAATATCTCTTAACCATACAATCCACATAAGTATCAGTATGCTCCGAACTTCGCTGAGTAGGATTTTGGTTTACATTTAGACTGCTGTTAATATTAAGTTGCAGATTCTCTCAATTGCTGCTCGATTTTCTATATACTACAAACTGTCATTTAATTTTCATGGGACATATTGGTAATTTTGTCACTTTGTTAAATGAGCTGTGGCTTAGAAGGTTTTCATTATTCAGAACTATGTTTTTTGCAACCAGTGTTCTTTTTGATTACTGATAACTTGCTTACAATATTGCTTGTAACTTATATTTATTTAAATAATTAAAACAGAAACAAAAATAGAAATATAAAATAAGTAATACTTTGATTATAAACATTTTGCGTTTATTTGGCAATTTTTAGAATGGATACCTATTAAAGTGCGTGCAAGCACCCTTGACCATGGAGCTGCGCGAAGGCGGAGTCAAATTCACGTAAAGGCAGAAAGGTTCTATTGTCAGTGGAATTATACATTGCGTAGTACAATGCGTTTCGCACGGAAGTGGGGACTAAACTAAATTTCGTCTACTGCGCCGTTGTCAAGAGTGCTTGCACGCACTATACATACATATTTTGCCATTTTGAAAGTACATAAATAATGTGTAATGATCAAGCGTACCGTAAAGTATATAAATAATTATACTTTTAAATACTAACTTTGAATATGTTGTATTTTTTATTGATATTTGTTATTGTTGTTGTTGTAGGTGTGGTCAATCCGAGTAGATATTAACCTTTTAAATTATGAAGGAAATATCCTGGATTGTGCTTCAATAGCTGCTCTTGCAGCTCTAGCGCATTTCAGAAGACCCGATGTTACTTGTGATGGTGAAGAATTTGTCATACACAATGTCAAGGAGAGGGATCCCATTCCAATGGTAATTCATCATTATCCTGTATGCGTAACATATTCTATTTTTGATGGAGGGTAAGAACTGTTTGATACAATACTTTGTTCACTGAGCTCAGTCACAACTGTCTAGTGAATTTAGTCATTAATTTTACTCTTTCTTTACTTAGTATGTTTCCAAATTTTTATCTGATCCTGTTGTGCCATTTCCAATTGCTCACTGTTCAGTGTTAATGGAGACAGTGTGTAAAAATAATGGACTTCCTCTAATAGTTGGTAGTCTTGAGGATTTATGGAAAATACTTGAAAGAATCAAGTTATTTTTCCACTTCTGCAAATTCAGAGAATTTATTAGTTTTTTTTTTATAGAATTCTATAAAAAGTTTGACATCATAGAGTCTTCTCTTAAATGACATTATATGGCATGTGATACATTATTTGAAAGCTCTTGTGCCATTCAGTATGCTCCTAGAAATGGAAAACAGTTGTTCTGTCAGGGGGGGTCAATTTGACGTAATTTTCATGTTTCCAGGATCACCATTTTAAACCGATGCGATATAATTGCACAACAATCTAGGAGCATAGAAAATCTGAGTAACACAAGATTTTCAAATAATTTATCACATAATTAATATTATGTGATTCGATAAATTAATAATTTATTGAATAATTTATCAAATGATGAAAAGGTTGCCAACGTGAGTCCAGAATACTAATAAATACTAATAATTGACTTATTTTCTGTATACTAGTATTAGGAAAATACATTGACCTGTTAAAGAATTTTCCATAAAAATGAAGAGTACTCAATTACTAGGGACAGGCCATACTGTCTTTATGCCATTGAACATTAATAGAAATGACTGTATCTCCCCCGTCGGTAAATATTTCCTGGGTAAATTATGTTACATTATAAATAATACTTACAAAATCTCTATTGGTTCCCATGGAGGTAGAAAAACAGTTTAAACTTTCGGTAGGAATTGGTGTTCACTAAAAATAAAAAGAATTTTTACTTTTCTTTTTGATTTTTTGTCAAATATTTTTGGCTAAAAACTCATCCCTGTTAACCAGAGAATTAAGGATTTTTCTGTAATATTCGTTGATACAGGTATAGTGCGTGCAGGCACTCCTGACCACGGCGCAGTAGACGAAATTTGGTTTAGTCCCCCCTTCCATGCGAAACGCATTGTACTATGCACTGTATAATTCTACTTACAATAGAACCTTTCTGCCTTTACGTGAGCTTCATGGTCAGGAGTGCTTGAATTATCTTTATCTAATAACTTCAATAACTTCACTTATACAGGCATCACTGCCAGCCGGACATTTCCTTCTTCCCCACAGTCTCTCACGCATTCTAACTCCTACAGTCTGACCAACTTTTCTAGCTTCAACTTCCAGCATCTTTCCCTCTTACCTTTGCTGTTGTTCCAGCGTCGTTCTTTCTCTTCTTTTTTCTTGCTCACTGCACGGACATAGTCGTGTACATTAGTTAAATCTGCTTGATTTTCAATCATTTTCTCAATCATTTCTCTCACTGTAACTGAATTCACATCCGTCTCTTTCCATTCTGTTTCCTTCTATTATCCATCTGTTGCAATCTAACATCGTATGTGTCACAGTGGCCGAGTGTCCACAGTATAGGCATTCATCTGAGTCAGCCTTTCCAAACCTTTATAGGCCCTAAACTACCAGTGTCCTGTGTGCACCAGCGTCAGGAAATAATCCAGTCGCCTGTGGCCACAGTCCACTCAATCTCTTATGTTCGGGGTCAGCATTTTCGTTCACTGTGCCACATCCTCCGTGTTATTCCATTCTTCTTGCCATCTTTTAATTGACCTTTCCCTTTCCTGTCTTCTCTCCTGCCAAAATATGTAACGGAATACATCCAGTGATGGTTCACACGGTATCTAACAACTGCTTTTGATAAATATGGTGAAAACAAAATATGCAAAAGATTAAACATTATTTTTTACTTATAAACAATGAAAAATCGATATTTGGTTTTAAATACTAAAGTTGAAGACTGGTAAACCATATGGAAAAGTGACACAATTTTACTGAAAAAGCATAGAGCATTACTTATTATCTTTACAATTAGTTTTTCTTAAAAACATTACAAATATATTTTACACATGTTTTGTGTAAAACCAAATGAGGTCGCTGGTTAATATTTAATTTAAAATAACGAAAATTGCAATATGTGTAAATGGATATGTAAAATAAAATATTGTCAATTCTATATGAGATTTACTTACCTTTTATGAATTTGGCGTCTGCATCTGGTGCACCGCTCGGAGTCTAAGGGTAGTCTGGACGCACACTTGATGCTGGTTTGATGCTTTCGCGATGACCAGTTGTTGCAGAGTCGAATATCATACGAAATAAAATATATATGTACGAAAGTCGACTAGGGTGGTTCCTTTGTTCTTAGTACCTCCATGCATAGCAATAAATTAAACTTAAAATGTCACTTTAAGCTTTCTACACAAAGGATGGGTACGATTCCTTATGGACTCTGAAGTGTTTTGGGTTGATAAATAGTTTCCCAAAAACTTGTTTTTCAGACAAGTGAAATCTCAGAACTTGACAATAACGAATCTGCTAATTTGATTGCGAGAATTTAAAAGATGTGGAACTAAAGCCATATTATAATTAGCTAATATATTATAAGTAAATAAAAGATTTAAAACTAAATAAGGTCATATTCTGAATAATAAAAATAAAATATTTAAATAGGTCTTGATCACTCTTCCAAATATTCTCCGCCCCTAAAAATGATTGTTTTTAAAAATAACTACAATGATAATTATAAAAAACGAACGCTACACTATTAATATAATAACACTATTAATATAATAATAATAGAAACGAAAAAGATAGTTATTAACAAATAGGTAGTGGGCCGATCTTGACCACCGGACGTTGTAGGATGCCATCTGAAGCTGTCCCCAAACTAACAACGCGTACAATACCGTCGGTGCCGCAATGCAACTCAGTGATTCTGGCCAGTTGCCAGCGAAGAGGAGGGTGTTGTTCATTTTTTATGAGGACTAGAGAACCTTTAGTGAGAGATGGGGTTGGACTATGCCATTTGGATCGCTCTTGAAGAGATTGAATATACTCTTTAAACCATCTTTTCCAAAAGTTCGCTCTTATCCTTTGGATTAATTTCCAACGATTCAGACGGTTAATCTTTAAAGCGCTTAGATCTGGATCGGGAATTGTATCCACTAAGGATTCAAAAATTAAAAAGTGACCAGGAGTCAGTGCCTGCAAGTCATTAGGGTCAGAGCTTGCTGCACACAAAGGTCGAGAGTTAAGAACTGCCTCGATTTGAGCCATAAGAGTATAGAACTCTTCATAACTCAAAACTTGTGTACCCAAAACACGATACATACGGTTCTTGAATGATTTGACGCTAACCCATTAAAATGAGGGGCGCCGGGTGGATTAAAATCCCATGTAATAGAAAGAGTCTCAGCATTGAGCTAGTTTAATGATTTCGTTGCTGGCTCCCTAAAATTGGTACCTTGATCACTCCTAATGGTTAGCTACTTACCGTGTCGAGATACAAATCTACGAAAGACAGCCAAAAAGGACTCAGAACCAAGACTGTTACTTCCAGATGAATGGCCTTTGTGCTCGTACACACGAATACACAAACATATCCTTTGTATGTTTTTGCACCTCTATGTTTGGACATTAATAATGAGAATGGTCCTGCAAAATCCACTCAAACAGAGGAAAGCACGTAACGGAGAAACTCGGACAGTTCGCAAGTTTGCCGTAAAGGGGTTGTAAGATTTAGGTCGGCATCTAAAACAACGAATGCACTTTGACAAACAGCGATGAATGGCACTTTCCGGAGATAGAATCCAAAATCGCTGAAGTAAGCCTTTAAACCAGGGTGCAGATGCGTTTGATGAGTCCATTCGATGATTAAATCGGTCAGACGATGAGTTTTGGGTCATAGCAATGGATGTTTATCATCAAAAGACAACTGAGATTTTTGTAATCGACCTCCTACTCTCAAAAGACCATATTCATCATCAGTAAAGGGTGCGAGTTTACGAAAAGGTGTGGGTAACAGAGAATTTTCTTTTTTTTTTTGAGAAAAATATCCGAAAAAACGTCAGCTTGTATGTGTTTAACAATGTATCGTAACGCAGATTCCATATCTAAATTACAGTCCAGGGAATCTGAAGAGGCAGCATTGTTTTTTTTTTGAAGTTCAGCCATGCATTTTAAGACGTAAACCATAACTTTCTGAATTTTTATCAGGGATGAAAATTTTGAAAGTAAGGTAGAGATGATATTATCCGTAATGACCAAACAACACACACTCCAAACAACACAAATTAATTGTTATAATCTTTGTATCATAAATAAAGATTATGGAATTAATCTGTATATCTAATTAACATATTACAATTTACATACTTAATTTTACTATTTATATTTATAAATAAAGTGTACCTATTACAATTAATTTTATAAAATTAGTGATTTGCAATGAATAATGGACAATTACACGCGCTTGTCTATGAAAGGGATATAGTTTTGTAGGACAGTGCACATTAGCTAAAATTGCTCTTAACCATTTTGAATGATATTTCCCTTCCTGTTTGATATTTTTACAATTATTATTTTAGGAAATACATCTTGGCTGATCCAACTTTATTAGAGGAAGGCGTATCAGATGCTTTCATGTCTATAGGTATAAATTCCTATAAAGAATTATGTGGTCTTCATCTTGGCGGTAAGGCAGATTTAGCTCCAGATGTCATTCTAGCAACAGCTAGCAAAGCTGGTAAAAGAGCAGGAATGATAGTACAGCAAATTAAAGAAACTGTAGAAAAAGATTCCTTGGAAAGGTTCGCATGTTACCATTTTAAGCGATGTATTTATTTGATGGAATTTTATGTTTTAGATTAGAGAAACAGAAACAAGGTTTCGGTTTTGGATTGCAAAATTTAAATATAGATTACGATGTTCCAGAGGACATAAATAAATATATAGATAAATGGGAGGCTAAAATGAAGAAGACCAAAAAGAAGGGGAAAGATAAAAAGGACAAGAAATCAGATCAATCTATGGAAACAGAAGAAATTGAGACAGTTGTTGCAGAAATTGAAAAATGTGGTATGTTGCTAAATTGTAAATATATTCTCCAAAAAACACATATTTTATATATATATATATATATATATATATATATATATATATATAAATATATTATATGATATTGTAGTTAAATTTATTATGATCCAATTAGTTAATTAAAACAAAAAATTATTTAATGAATATTATTATGAATATGTAAATAAATTTTATTTACGGACGCCAATTTTATAATTCATATGTTTTTATCTCAGGGTTCCTATTAGAGTTCAAAAATACCTTTATTTTTAATAGTGTTCAACAAGAAGAGGAGTAAAAAGGAATAAATAAAAAAAAACTCAAATTTGTGCAATACAATTAAAATATAATAGTAAAATAAACCTCCAAATAATGAAATCCCTTAGAAATAAATGTTTCCCAAAACATATAGCTTTCACATAAAAAATTACAATACGAAAATTAGTCCCAATCTATTATATCGTCTTAATACATTTTTCTCTGCACTTTATTAAAATGATTCACTTTAATTGATTCCCATCGAAAAACTCCTTCCCTGGTTCTGCTTATAAAAACAGTCCTGTCGATCAAAAACAAACGTCCTGACTCACGTTTCTATCTCCTTTTGTGATTGCCCATATCTGCTTAACTATGAATCTCTTCGGGAATAATAATGCATTGGTACTTACAAATTCTGCACTTTTTTCATCCGGCAAATCAGCTTTCAAAACTCTTTTTTTGCAGATCTTATGATGACAGGCCATTGTGCAGGAACATAAATGGGACCTGTTTTAAGTATTTTCTTCTTTTGCCTCTCAATAGTTGCGTGCATGGCGTCCCCTTCATTTTGGGTATGTCCCACTGTTAAAAATTTATGTGTGATTGATTTAATATTAATTTTTTCAATTGCATAAAGATACATGGTAACTATAAATTTATTTTTATTTTGCCCAACACAATTGTCGCTATAAAATATAACGTCTTTATCATTACAATGATTTGAAAGATAATCAAACAGACACGTAGCTATTTCGTTTGAGCCGCGGTTAGCAATAGCCTCGTGCCAAAAGTAACAGTAACCAGTCTTTTGCAATATCTGAAAAATTGTAAAGTTGAAGCAGTTCAGGCGGCATTTATAGTAGAAGCTTGAAACATCTCCACAAGGTGTAGGAAGGATCGCCTGCAAATCAAAACAAGCTACCAATACTTGAGAATCATCTTTTGCTCTTGCTAGATCTTGTGCTTTTTTTCTCTGCTTCTAATTTTATTATGGATATGTTTTGTTATAAGTTTGATGAAGAGTAGCTTGCTGTTCAGCAGAAGAATTTTTATATGATTCACAAATTGCGCACTGATCTTTTTTTGGCTGAAAGAAAGTTATGTTAAAACTCAGTTTTGAAAATATGCTCGTAAGTGCATTTTTTTAGCCACAGGCCTTCCTTCACTCTCTTCCTGTAGTTTGTAGTAGCGATACATTTTAGCTAAAGTAAGTGAACCATCTATGTATTCCTTTGTAGTTTGTGCTCTAAGATAATGTGATTCTACCCTTTGGAAAGAATTTATGTGTTCTCTTATTTTATTTTTCACCGGTCCAGTAACCGTTTCTCGTTTCATAAAAATATACCTGCTCTATGTAATCATCTTGGCGAGGGTCTGTATGTAGATTTTCTTGATCTTCAAATGTATTTGCGGTATGATTTGATTGCACGGGTAACGCAACCGGAGTAAGCTAAAAAATTACATACATTAAGTAAAACCTCACTGTGATTTTTGTTGAAATACAAACCTCCGTCAACACAAAGGAGATGTCATTCATAACCTCAGAAACCTCTGAATTGTCTCTCAGATTCTCATCATCTTTAAGATAGCTTTGCAAACCTAGTCCAAGCATTTTTCTTGCCTTGACATCGTGTTTGATAATAAAGTTAATAATAATATCACTATACACTGTTTTCAGACTTTAAATCAAATAGTTGTACACTAAAAACGTGGATACTCGTGCATAAATCATTGAGAACTGATAAAATCGTACAACTAATCTAACAATTTTTGCAGTTGTGGCGTATTGAATTACATCGGCTGTATTGTGGCGAAGTGTATTATCGCCACGTCTCCTAGTTTATGGCCATATTGCATTTCAAAACCCCACAGTGTAATACCGAAATATCTTACTTTATACTTATCCAAGACAATATTTCAGTTAAGGTTGTATTGCATTAGATGGGGTATCATATATCCAACCTTTTTAAAGCCTTAACTCAAAATTGGAATTTTTGGAGTTGTGGCAGTATTGAACTAGATGTACGATTATATATATATATATATATATATATATATATATATATATATATATATATATATATATTAACAATTTACGTCTTGTCTGTTTATAGTGCGATATTGTATATAATTTTCTTCTTGCAGGCGAGGGAACAGCTGCCTTAGTACCAATAGATCACAAAGACAAAAATCCTTGGCATGATAGTGACAGTGATAACCAGTTTGAAGATCATGAAGTGATATTCATTGAACAACCAAAACCAATTGGTGGGTTATTAATATTTTATTTTAATTTTGAAATATACTTAGAAAAGACTATTACTTTGTTAAACGTGTATTTTAGCTTTTTATATATACATTTATTTATAAAGATTTTTCTATATACTTTTCCATTGTTGTACAAATTTTTCACTAGCTAATTGTCATTGTTATTAAATGTTTCACCATATTTGGCGTCGTCCCGCTGGATTTCATTTCATTGAAAGGTATGTTGTACAACGTTTGGTTGTTGGGATAACAAAGTCCGTTTATTATAATTCTGAGCATTTTTAATTGAAATAATTTGAACTGAAGAGTTACTTTCGGTTTTCGTTCCAGAAGCTTTTACTAGTACCGACAGTCTTTGTCGGAAATTGATACCTAAATACATATGTTTGTTCTATGTTATATTTTAATCTAGGTGGAGGCCAAGAGTTTTAACCTAGGTCTCTACAGATATGGAAACATTGTTGATTCCTACATACAGGTACATGCTCTTATGACTTGCTTAGATTTGGTTTAAGCAACTTTTTTCTCCAGCTATTGTACCATTTCGATAGGCAATTGAGATGAATTTGAAGATTTTATGACGATGTCACTGACAGAGGACGAGTTAAGGTGTTTTTATGTCGAGAAAAACAGCAGCACACACAACTCTTGCAGGCTCTTGGACGAGTATCATGATAAGCGTAATTCAGCGTATTTTCCATGAAATAGGAATCTGGGATGGATTTACCATGTGATTGAAAATTGTGCTTACGAACCGTCTGACATTTTTAGATCTTTACGCCAGAACAAGATCGTTTTACGTAGATTAAATTGGATTCCACTCATTTGTCCCCGCTAGCTTAAGGGTCCTCATTTTTTTTATTGATGGAAACTTAACGGCAATAAATATTTAGAATTGTTGTAAATCAAAACTATTACGGTAGTTCAATTACTTCCTGTTAACTTTGATGATATTTGGTTTCAACAAAATGGCTGTTCTGCTCACAATACATGAGCAGTTGAAAATTATTTAGAAGCCATTTTTGGAAATAAATTAATTTCTTCTCGTGGTACGATCAAGTGGCTTCCAGATCACCAGACTTATCAGCAAATTATTTTTTTCTTTGTGGATATTTAAAGCTAGGGTTTATCGACATGGTTTCAAAAGAGCCCGAAATTGGGCAAATTGGTTGATACCTTCGGCAAAATCGGTAGATTTTAATATACCATATACGTTCTTTTAAATTATAAACAATATTTGGAATAATAAATGTATTAAAGTATAAGTTTAAGTTTAACAATTCAAATAATACCCAATGAATACAACAAAATTGTTGTTAATAAAACATTATTATTATCTGCACAAAAATACAGAATGACGAATATCCCAAACGGAGTTTCAGAAAAAATCTGTAAACGGAAACACTGTCCTTATGCCATATATGCTACTACAAACCGCAAAGGAGGGGCAATTTAATTTACAGAATGGCTTATCCCAAGGGGTGGTTCTATCGCTGTTCTTGTTCAATATTTACACTTCAGACGCTCCCATTACAATCTCACGCAAATTTATTTATGCAGATGATATGGCTTTAGGTATATAAGAGAGAAACATCGAGAACGTCCAAGCTATTCTAGAAGGCACCTTAAATATTATTAACACATATTTTAAAAAATGGGCCTTCAAACAAATCATACAAAGGCAGAAGTTACTACTTTCCATCCAGATAGCCGCGAAGTAAACCAGATTAAACATAGAAAGCGAAGGAGTTATTCTAAAAAATTATCCGAAACCCAAAATAATTAGGAAGGTTAATCATATTTACCGGTTCGCCCCAATTAGAGAATTCGTACCAATTCTCGCCCCAGATCTAACGTTTTTATTAATAACTGTAATTCAGTTTAATCAATCGCTTTGACGGTTTAGGACATCGCTAGTTGATGTACTAAGAGAACAAAGAAGTTGTAAAACCCAAAATACCGAGAACAGAAAATTAAATATTCTCGTGGGATTTCGCGGAAATGTATGTGGGCGAGAATTCGCCCACGTGGTATCGAGTGTTTTCATGTTCTACAAATCTGATTTTATCAGTTTAGACGAAAGTTTTGGAAGATTGATACTAATGACTTGCCATGATGTGCAGTCGCATTGTTTACATATTAGCAGTTGATTGTAATGTGTTTCCTTTATCTTTGAAATTCCATCCTTGCTATTACAAAGCATGATTTGCTTTGCATCGTATGTGATATGAATATTTAACAGATAATTTTTGAAGTTCCGACTCGTCTTCACTTCCTGAAATAGTGTCAGGAATGTACAGTGTATCGTCACTAATATTTCTATATCACTCATATTTATAGTTATTACACTGACTTCTCTTCTAAACGAATGACAAAAAATGAAGTTCTTTGCAAATAAACTTTCTTCTCATAGAAGCCCATTTAGTGATAATTTGATATTAAGTAAACATTATCCTTTTACCTAAAGAAATTTTCTAATCTCTTATAAACACTGGCTTTATATACATAGAAATTTGTAATTTTGAATTCCAAGTACAAATGCAATTAACTGATTAAATTTAAATACGTACCTGGCTACACCTGCTTCCTACCATTTATCACTATTCTTTAATCTTTTGGTATATAAAAAGATTGTCATCACCGTTATTTTTCAAATTGTTAAACCCGCGAAATTTAAACAATCGTTAAGATTTCCGAAATTTTTCAATTTTTCTTTGTCTGTAAGAACTTTCTACAAAGTATAAGACAATTTCAGACCGAGGCCCATAAGGCATGTATGGTAAATAAATATAAATATGTGTATTTTTGTGTATTATGTATTTTTTGTGTATATATTTTCAGCCTATTGTAGTCAATTTCTCGCATATTCCTAATTTTCATTACAAAAAACAGTGTCACATCTTACATTTGAGCTATTAGGCAACATAATTTTCATATTTAATCTGCATATATTAATCTGTAATAAGATCAGCTTCGCGTGAGAAAAATAATTCAAACTAAGGCATCTGGTTTAAGCCATTATAATAATTAATAAGACATTTATTTTGTTCCAGTTGACTTAAGAGACATCGAAACAGATAGCGAAGAAGAAGCAGTAGTAATTCTAAACGCAGATCAGAAAACCCAGAAAAAGAAACAAAAGAACAGGAAATAAATACAACTCTGTCATTTGTACTTTTACTTTTTATTGTTTTTATAGAAAAAAAATTAAAAAATATTACAACACTTAAATATGATTATGACTTAAAATTACTTCATATTTTAATTGCACGAGCATTAAGTAGTGTCATTATTGATACCATTCTTCTGATCCAGCTTGTTGGCGTTTGTCTTTACTGTATATATGAAGAAGGTTACCACTTCCTTTTCCTTCACAGGAATCGTCTTGAAATGCTTCATTAACGTCTAAAACAAATTTAAAATTATTTAACAGAGAAGCAGTAGATCAACATACAAAATAAACTTTTGTTTAGACTTGAAGAAAGCTATGCATTTGTTTTGCAGTAATTGTCGAATAGTTCTAATTACTGAACAAGAAATTTTTTACTAATCTTAATAAGTAGTATACAGTAAAAACGTAAACTTATAGAATAAATTAATTTTTTTGAGAACAGATAAATATGAGAATGGGGGTTGTATGTTAGCTCATTTGAAGGGTTACTCCATTCTCTAATTGTCAGAAAACAGAAAAATTTTTAGTTCACACAGAAAAATTGCTTTTCCCTTAAATTAAATGCTCTAATAGTTACCCACTTACCTATTGGCAGTAATTGAACATAATATGCCAATCTTCTTGAACATTGTGGATCGTTTCTGGAGTTATATTACGAATTTTCAATTTAATTCTATTTTTCAATCTTGAAATTTTATGGCAATCGACATAAACTTTTAATTAATAAAAACCATACAAAGTTCAAGTGGTGTCAAGATTTGGATGTCTTCAGGCCCACACTATTGTTCCTCATCTACCAATCCATCTCCTAGGAACACATCTGCTTACAAAATCACAAAGACTAAGTGCAAAGTGCGGGGGTGCACCATCTTGCTGTAACTATTGTTTTCATTTTGTAAATTATAATCATTTTCATTTGAAAAAATGTCTGTAAGTGCAGGTATAAGTTAATTACCCATAATTCTATCTTCAACTTTCTCTGCCTATTCATTTACTTTTTTAAGGTGTTTAGAATACTCATAGGATAATTGAGCATCCAATCTCCAAAAGCATAAAGCTCGTCGTTTAGAATTTGCAAGAACACATATTCAGTGGAATAACTCGAAAAATGTTCTTTTCACTGATGAGACCAAAATCCTATTACCGAAGCCAGATGGTCGAATCCATGTCTACAGAAGAGTCGGAGAATGATTCGCTACCTGTAATCTCACCCAGACTGTTAATTTTGCAAGATAAAATGTTTTGCCATATGTTCGTTACATTGGATAAGATTCATGTTAATGCACGATAATGCTCAACTACATGCCATTGGCATAGTAAATAATTATCTTGATGAGGTCCCAATTCGAAGATTGGATTAGTCGCTATTTAGTCCGGGTTTAAATCCAATAGAGCACATGTGGGATCAGCTACAACGCTGCATACGACAAAAAAATCCCATTCCAAATATGCTAGAGTGGCTTCGGTTTGCTGCACAGAATGAATGGAATGCAATTCCCCAAGGATATGTTAAAAATTTACCTGCAAGCATACCAAGGAGGATGCAAGAAGTAATAATAGCTAGACATGGGAATACCCCCTACTAATTATGCACTTATTTCGGTTGAAAAGACTTGGTTAAGCAATTTAAATTAGCATTATTTAAGTTTAGAGTAGAATAACATTATTTTTCTGACTTAAGTATTATTTTTTCGCAATTTTCTCTGCATAAAAACTTAAAATTCTGTATTAAACTGTTAAAATAAACTCTTCTTCACAATAAATGACTTGATTGACCAGAATTTGTGTTAAAAAAATGAAAATTCCCAAATACTCGATATTTTTGTCCATGAATGTATAGTTTTTAAATCAATTTACAATTAGTAGCGTGGTGACCACAGAACAGCTCAGGAAAAGGTATAAATATAAATTTAAAAAGAACATACAAAATTGCTGTAACAACACAAAAAATGGACCTACCCTGAAAATGGTAAATACCCTGTAAGAAATGACACTCACTGACCTAAAAAACAACAAAGCAGCTAGGGAAGATATAATAAAAATTAAAGCCATAAAAGTAGGTTAGCACAGGCAACAGGGACAACACTGGATCAACAGAATAACGTAATTATTGTACTGATACATAAACTTGGACACTATTGAACCATAAGCTTAAGCATAACAAGTACTATCAAACTGCTAATTTCCAAGCTAGATCAATATCAACCATGCGAGCATGCAGGATTTAGTTCAAATTATCACCTACAAGTCCTAAAGAGCCTTATAAAGAAAGGTATGAAGTATAATGAATCACTCACTCTAATATGTGTACAATATGAGAAAGCGTTTGATACAGTTTAAAAACATCAGATGGTTGAAGCTTTAGTAGACTGTAGAATAGACCACTGATATACTATAATAATCGAACATATTTATGAAAACACTACTGGAAGTGTTATCCACAAAGGTAGAAATTTCAAATTAAAAGAGATGCATATCCCTTTCAATGCTAATTATCTATTTAGAGGACACTATGTCTAAATTAAATACCCAGGTGCTTGAATATACAGGGTGGTGTGAATCGTCAAACGGGCCATAGGAAAACTCAATGGGAAATTCTAAATTGTTGAATTCCTGCTTCCTAATTACTTTACACCAAAAGGCATATTTTTTGGCAACCTCTACAAATAGTTGCCAAAGGCAAACTATTTGTAGAGGACTCAAATATGTATCGAAAACAACTATTAAAATTATTCTATGACTTAACGTATTCCAAATTTTTTCTAAAATATACATTTTTTGTGAAAAAATGTGTATTACGTGTTGCGTTTTGTCATATTATTGTTTCTGATATTTGACAACATTTAAATCAATTATATTATATTTATCTATGATTTAAATGGCCAAAATTTTGTGATTTATTGTTTAAAAAAAATTAAAGTTGATTAAAAAATGTACTCAGTTGAGGAGAAAAAAGCAATAATAAAAATGTTTTATTCATGTTTTATTATAACATTTGTTATAGTTTTATGTTTAGAAATTATCATATATTATTATTAGGAATAAAGATCACAGTAACAGTATATTGGAATTCAATTGAATTGTTGTATAACTTAACTTAACATGGAATTAAAATTTAGTGAATTAGAATATCTTACGTTAAATAAAGATCCCGGTAGTGGCAGGAAAAAGTTAGCGCTATTGCCTGAATACAACATTATGTGATTTTTTCGTCAACTAAGTACATTTCATTATATTGATCGATTTGCAAACAATATAATTTATTGTTCACAAGTAATAATGTTTTAGTAGTAGTAGTATTTAGTAAAATTCATTGTTTATAATTTAATCATAAAATAAAAAATTGACAATTTCAAATTGTCTAACATCTGACATCAATATGATAAAACACACACGTCCTAATATATATTCTTGCATTACATGTGGCCTAACTTTTAGGGGTGGCCTGAAAAATGTATCACATTTTTGCAAAATTTTGAAGTACATTTGATTCGTAGAACGGTTTTAACATTTGTTTTAAGTCAGATTTTAGTCCTCTACAAATAGTTTTTTATGACTTTTGATCTAAAATAATTAGGGGAAGCAGCAATTCAACAATTTAAAATTTCTCATTGGGTTTCCTATGGCCCGTTTGACAATTCACCACCCGGTATATGCAAACAGATAAATTGGAATGAATTACGAAAAATATCAATGGTGAAACGCTAACAAATCTGAGAGTATCTAATGATATAGACCTAATAGCACATAATATATTGATACTGACAAGAAAATGCTGAAAGGACTACATGAACCCGCACAAAAAGAAAACCTAGAACCTATTTCTTAAAAATACAATAAATGACAAACTTGATTCTCAGTAAAATTATCAATGTTGATGGAGGTAAAATAGAGGAGACTTCTTATACAATCTTTATACAAATATCTAGGTCATGAAATATCTATTGACATATATAATCATACATGTGGAGAATAGGACTGACATGAGGAGAATAGGGTGGACATGGACACTTTTGGTAACCTGGTTTGGTAACAGACACTGAAATCAGATCTTCCCATGTGTCTGAAATGAAAGGTTTTCATTCTATATATCCTGTGTGTCCTCACATATCCTTACAGTTAATAAAATCTGAAATAACAATTTTGGGCTTACATCTAAGATATCAGATTCCACACACAGAAATCTTTCTGAGAAATTTCTATAAAAATCAAACTCATTGTAATAGGATGTGGCTGGATTATTAAATTAAGATATCTGAAAAACTCGTAGCAACACGCGTTAGTGTATTAGAGAAGTTAGAAATCAAAAGGTTTTAAAATCTCCAAGCATATATTAATATATAGGTCATTTTCAAAAAAGTTGAATACAATGGCGATATAAATTGAAATTTCAATGAAAAATCTTTTAAGCTAACTAAAATAAACATCTACATCGTAGATGTACAGATGTAACTACAACTAAATACGTAAATATATTACAAACAGCAAAATCTTAAGAGATTTAAAAATTGAACTGAAGTTATTTCTTGTGGTATCCTAAAGCAATTACTATTTTAATAGGAACATACCACAATTTAAGTTGAAAATAATGTTTGTATTTTGAGAATAATTTCTAAAGTGGAAATTGAAACGTCATAAACTTATCTTAACCTTCAATGGTGGCTTATTGTGCACTCTTTAAACACAAGAAAAACGCAAAATAAAATTACCCACTACAAATAATTTACTTACATCTGCAAGCTGGGCTTTGTTCAGTCCTTGCCTCATTGGCACCTTATAATGTTTTTTGTACCTTCTCAGGGTGTTTACTTGTAATTGGTATAGATCTACTTCTGGAAGATCTGTGTCTGTTTCATTTGAGTCATCTTCCGATTCTTTTCTTCTTCTTTTTGTTCTTGCACATTGAATGATCATCTTGTGATGGTCACAAATGTAATTGTGCCTTGCCTAAAACAAAAGTATAATTATAATCACATTAATTTAAAAATCTATTACAATAACTAGCTAATATTCAAACAGTAACATTT